AGCCCCTCCCTCAGCCCTTCTCTTCTTCTCCACCAACATTGAAGCATGTGATCACCTTTTCTGTTCAGGACTCAAGCCACATGGCCCTGTCCAACAATAAACCATCTTTCCAAGCAGCTTCCATGTCTCTAGTGTCTTTTTCCTCACTTGGAGCTGAACCCAGAAGGACATTTCTTTCATCAATCTCTTAAGTGCTGACATCTACCCTTTTCGATACCTTCCTTTCTTCCCATCTTTCTCTCTGTGTCTCATTTTTTGTTGTTGCGTTTTGAGCCGATGCACAGACTCTAATGTTGATCTGAGTTTTTTCCCCATCCTTCCTACAACAGCGGCGAAAACCCAGGCTGAGCTGGTGAGAAAATGGATGGTGTTGGCTGAAACCGCCGCCGAGGGAATCCGAAAAGAGGAAGGCTGGGAACCTGTTGCAAAGGGTACCAATAATGGTTTGGTCCCAACATCCAAGGCCCCGGGGTGGATGGAGCTCCACCAAGCAGCCAGGAATGGGGACATGCGACTGGTAAAACAGCTGTTGAAGCGAGGAGCATCTATGAACAGCAGGTGAGGTAAATTTTGAGTAGTTAAGAGAACCGGCAAATACTACCTCTAGCTGGCCCCAGAGTGGGGAGAGAATGGAGATTTTGCAGGACCTTCCCCTCGAGTGGGGTGGGAATGATTTTACAGTACCCTTCCCCTGGAAAGGGGACGAAATAGTGATTTTGCAGTATCCTTCCCCTGGAGTGGGGAGGGAATGGAAGTTTTGCAGTAATCTTGCCCAAGAGTGGGGAGGGAATGGAGATTTTACAGTATCTTCCCTGGAGTGGGGTGGCAATGATTTTATAGTATCCTTCTCCTGGAGTGAGGAGGGAATGGAGATTTTGCAGTAACCTTGCCCTACAGTGGGGAGGGAATGGAGATTTTGCAGTATCCTTCCCCTGGAGTGTGGAGGGAATGGGGATTTTACAGTATCTTCCCTGGAGTCGGGTGGGAATGGGGATTTTGCAGTATCCTTCCCCTTGAATGGGAAGGGAATGAAGATTTTACAGTATCCTTCCCCTGCCACGCGCAACAAGCCACACCCACAGAACCGGTAGTAAAAAAAATTGAATTTCACCACTGACCGAAAGCCATACATTCTGGGCTTCACATCTAAAGAGAATTGGCTGGTACGGATTTCCAGCTGTGCCTCCATCTAGAACTACACTTCCCAGCATCCCTTGCTTTCCATCCAAGGCCTTCTATATTAGATTTTCTTTTTCTTTTCTTTTTAACTGACCCCTTTTAGAGACGAAAATGGCTGGGGTCTCCTGCATGTCGCCTCTTTGCACAGCTACCTCCCCTTGGTGAAGTTACTCCTCCAGCGTGGAGCAGCGGTCGACCCCGACAACATGGCCGGTTACACACCTCTCCATCACGCTGCCTGGGGAGGCCACACCCAAGTCGCCGAGCTCCTCTTGGCTCGGGGGGCGCCGGTGGCGGGCTTAACCCAGGGGGGCCTTACCCCGTTTCACTGTGCGGCCGCCAACGGCCACACCTTGGTGATACAACTGCTGCTACGGCACGGGGCAGATCCCGACGCTTGCGACTACGACCAGTGGAATTCCTTGCACTGGGCCACAGCTGGCGGCCAGCTTCACATCATGAATGGGTTGATTTCCCAAGGGGTGAACCCCAATCTCCAAGGCAAGGGTGGCATCGCGCCATTGCACATAGCTGCGCAGATTGGGAGAGTCGATACGATGCATCTCTTGCTCGCCACAGGGGCCAGCGTGAACCTCCAAGACGAGGGCGGAATGACGGCGCTGTCTCTCGCTTCTAAAAACAGCCATCATGAGGTGGTCTTACTTTTTAGATCAAATCTATACTAAGATCAATGTTTTCATTCATCGTCATAATTAATATTAGTATAAGGGAGCTGGGGAGGGCTGATTGTTGTTTTTTTTAAATGAAAATTTTGAAAAAAAAACTTTTACAAATATTTACC